TGTTGTTCTTTCCTTCTCTCTTCCTTTCTCTTCACAGATCACAACACTACTAATAATCCTTCTCCCCTCCTCAAGACTTTCGCCTTTTTCCTTTTGTGTTTGGGGCCCCGGAGACGGTTTCCTCCTCTGGCTGGCTCTGCTGCCAGATCTTCTGCAGCCACTCCGGCACCACAGAGTCCTCCTGCCACGGCCGCTGCAGACTTCCCTCCGCCGCGCGGTGCAGGAGGTGCACTTGAGTGAGAGGCGCCCGACAGAGTGTGGAGGGATTGTTGAGAGACTGCAGGAGAAGCGGAAATGGCGTAGACCACCGCCATGCCACAAAAAAGCCTACAACCATCGGTAATAGGAGTTGCTTAAAAAACAACTCACGCCACTTTGAAAAGTCGTAATCCATTACTGTCATGTCTTCTAACTCATTCGTATATATATCTTTTACTTGTATCATACGAGTATCCCTGGTTACCAAGATACGATAAAAGAGATAAAAAGAAACGGCCAAAACCACGACTTGGATCAGTAAAAAGATGTTTCTGATCAGTTGTTGCGTTTCCGGGTCGGTTGAATCGAGACTCCAAGAGACAAACAAAACAAGAAGCGGAGAAAGTAAATTCATTATGAATAGTATTACACCCTTGATAAATCTAACTCACTAAATTATTATTTCTTTATTTATTTTCGTTCTTTTGTTTCTCCTTATTAAACACAGAGAAAGAAAGAGAGATGCAGCTTAAACTCCACGGGGTGCTGTATCTCAGAAGTAGAAGGGGAAAATAGATAAAGAAGAAAAAAATAGAAAAGGAAAAGAAAAAAAAAAAAAAAACACCACCACAGCAGTGAAAGTTTACCTTAAACGAAAAATAACAGTACGAGAATAGAAACAAAGATGTGTACTTAATTTTTACGGAGAGTACAGATAGAAAAACAAAAAAAAAAGAGAAAGATGGGGGAGAAAGGAATTAACCGTTTTATCGAAAGAAAGTAGAGTAAGAGTCCTCTTCACACAAACACACATTGTTCTGCTTTTGTTTTTGTTTTTTCTTTTTTTTGTTGTTTCTCCATGGAGTCTCTCTCTTCATTCTTTTTCTTTTTGTTCATTATATATGTATGTATACCATGGTATGTATATGTGTTCCTGTTTGTGTTTGAGACTCTATTCCTGTTGTTGTTGTTTTTCCCTCTTTCTTCTTCCTTTTTCTTTTTTCTTCTTTCTTTTCTCTTATACCTTTTACTTCATGAGTGAGCGCCAGTTCATAGGCCGGAAGAGATGCAATCCCGCGTAGTCAGTTGTGATCACCATTCCAGGAATCTGTGCATGCCAGTGTGCCTCCTTTGGGTGTACGAGTCCCTGGTGTTGGAACATCAGCTGATCGGGAATACCGGTGAGGTCCTGCCGGCCAAAGAGCTCGCCGATCACCTCCTTCTCCTCACTCGGATCCCGCTCAAGACTGAGATCCCACAGCGTGCACTGTCCATCATCACCGGTAACAGAGAGCACACTCTCATTGTGTAGTGAGAACTCCACAGATGTAATGCTTCCCTTGTGCCAAGGCAACTGTTGAATAGGAGTGCTCTCGCCAATCTTGCGGAGATCCCACACCGCCACTGCACCACTGTCAGCGCCAGTGACAAGCAGATGTGAGGCTTGACGGGCTCGGTTCCAACTTGCAACGTTAATATCGGTGGGATCGGCCTGCCAGCTGATCTTGCTCTTCCGCATATCACGTGTATCCCAGACCTCCACCACACCGCCAACGCGAGTCGCTATGAGAACATCAGCTTGTGTGGGACTCCACTGAATCTCCTCAACCGATGGTGCATGGTCACTGCTTGTGCTGCTGGCGACTGGCTTCCATCTTCCATCGTCCGATGGTTTCCACACGAATAAATCTCCATTGCAATCACCAGAGGCAAAGACACCCTGAGTCACTGTGCTCCAGTCCAAACCGTAACCTTCCGTCTTGTGGGATGTTGACGGAGTACAGAAAAGCATTGCAGATTGTTTTTTCGGTATACCTTGACGTGCCTGTTTCTTCGCCCAAGCAGCGTGGTCACACAGCATGGAGACATCATTCTCCAAATCAAATACCTGCACATGACCCGCATCGGACCAAACAGCGACCAAGTTTGTATTGTGGTGGGCACAACGAACACGATTCGCCGTTCCATAATGAGATATAGTGCGATGCACCATTATTGGTTCACCGTTGTTTACTTCCTCCTCCTCCTGATCGTTATCGTCTTCGCTATCACCTTCGTCACCAATGTAACTTCCATCACTGTCGCTGTCACTATCGGCATCGTGTTTCGTACGACATATATTCGTAATACGTAGTACGTAGAGCTGGTTCTTGGAGAGTTCATCCGCCTGTGAACCACAGACAAGTGTAAGAGAGAGTGGATATTTCGTGCGATTACCAGCGTCCTTATCTTGCAAGACATCAAAGGAAAGACATGGGTACTCTGTACGTAGTTGAAAGAAGGAATCATAGGCCTTATTAGAATATTCAAGTTGCATATCTTGAGTCCCAACCTCAGCCTGGTCACTGCGCCAAATAGTAGGAGCTGCTTCATCACCTTCATTATCTTCATCCTGTGGCATTGCAGCATCATCAAACGTCACTCGTCGCATTCCCTTCGATAGTTCATCTGTCTCACGCTGGAATTCGGCGTAATCCTCATCATCCTCATCATCATCAGCGCCATCGTCGATGATCTCTTCTTCAATGATTTCATCCATGCAGTCATCATCATCATCCTCATACTCCTCCTCCTCGTCTGATGCGTCCTCCCACTCTTCGTCCTCGTTATTCTCTGCAGCAACTCTCCGCTGAAGTTGTCGCTCTTTTTCCTCTCTTGCGATTCTCTCTGCCTTCACCTCTTCTTCCTCCATCTCCTCACGGTCGCGCAGTCGTCTGCGTGTGGTGGGAAGATCCTCCTCCGCGCGATCTACACGCTTCGTACTCTTTTTCATCGCCGCACCCACACAGATGGGGTAATCACGACTCTTGAACACCCGTGTAAAAGAATGCAAGAAAAATAAAATAAAAAATAATATCAATAGATAGATAGAAAGAAAGGGGAAAATAATTAATAATAATAATAATAATAATAATAATAATAATAATAATAATAATAATAATACTATACCAATAGAATCAAAAAAAAAAAAATAGTGGAGACAAACAAACAAATCAAGAGAAAAAAAAGAGACACACACAAAGAAAGAAAACACAGAATTCGCCTTTCTTTTATTGTTGTGAATTCTCTCTTCTGTAAATATCCCCTTTTTTCCAACTTCGTCCCCACTTCATCCCTCTCTCTATGTGTTTCCCTCTCCACAGACCTCACCCTCAAACTCTGCCGTTAACTGTACGTATATATGTCGAAAGTGTTCACAACAACAAACCGTTAAAAACAAACGCAAGGGAAAATGAAAAAAAAAAAAGAAAAATGGAGAAAATAAAGCAAATACCAACGGTAGCACCACAGCACATATACAAACACAGACCGTTTTATTCTCTCAAGAGACATCTTTAGAGGCACGTACTTCATGCAGCATGGCGTACAGCAGCGGCACAGACGCCGGAGCTCCTGTCAAGTTTAGCTGCGTAGCCAAAACAGCATGAGGGACGGATGCCGCAGCCTCTCTACCAGAGCCAGACTCCGCACGGAATACCGCCAGTGAGTGCTCCAGACCGTTAAACTCCAAATACTCCTTAATAAGTTCATTAATCAGCAGATTTTCTGGTGGTACAGGCGGTTTTGCTGAACTTGCATCTCCTGTCTGTGTAACTCCATCCTGTAAAGACTGAAAAATAGCGGCACGTAGCTCTGCTTTAATGTGATCTATTACCCCTTTTGTCTCCAACACCTCACGCATTGCTACCTTTAATGATTCTTGCTTCGACATCCTGTTGTTCCCTTTTTTAGCCGTTATTGACGCTATTGACCAAATAACAGTCCATACAAAGAATAAGCAAGAGGAAAGGTTAAATATTTGTGAATAATCGCTACCAAGAGTAATACCATTAATATTACTAATAGTAGTACCAATAATACTAGTAATACTACCAATAGTAATTTGAAACCAGAAAACAATATTTGGAACAAATAATACAGAAAAAACAAAATAGAACATCTAATTTGAAATATACACTAAACAAGAGATTTTTTCGTTTTTATTTTGATGTCATGCACAAAATGCACATTAGAATTACCTGTTATCGATAGAAAATATCGAAATACGACTTTACTTCTTTTTTTTTTTTTTACTTTTGTCAATACCCACTCCCTAGAAAACATTTACATTGGAGAAATTCGGTGCAGCTGTTGTAGTTGTATTTGTTTCCGGGCATGGCAGAGGCTCTTGGTAGTGTAGTGTTTCACTGGCAACCATAAACGCCGCCACATCTAGTAAAAGAATAGCGAACACAAGTACATAAATGGCATGTTTTTGTTTCTTCTCCTGATGATCGTTCTTATACCATTTAAGATGTATTAATGTTAGGCCAATAAGAATAAGGATTCCAACGGCGTTGACAAAACTACTAAAATGACTACCTTGATGCTTCAAAAGGGCAATGTTTAACACTACCGCCACAGTTGAAATGACAATACATACAATGATAAGAGCTATTGTGAATATCCCCGTTGAGCGCGGTTCATGACCTTCAAGGAGACCATCCATATGTTCATTCAGCATTTCATCACTTTTTTTTTTTTTTTTCGTACCTCTGACTGTAATCCTTTATAGGATCTTCGATTGCATTAGATACAAAAGAATAAAAAAAAAAAAGAAAAAAAAAATCAATAATGAAAAGTCAATTAACAAAAAAAGGTGCTTAATAGAAGTAGTTAGGTTGTATATTTTAGTCAATGTCAACGATATTGTTGTTTGCTTTGAATGACCTTCTCACTTGCCTCACTACGTACAAAGACGAAGGGATGGATGAGAAATAAAAAATAATAATAATAATAATAATAATAATAAACGATAAAACGATAGAACATACACACACACACAGAGAGAGAGAAACAGAGAGACAATTATTTTCTCTTTGTCGCTTAGTGTGGAAGTAAAGAAAAACAAAAAAGAGGAATATGTTTATAATATGAATACAATAAGTCTGCGGTATCATGAATAAGAAGAAATAAAGAGGACGGTACCCTTACAAAACACCAACAGTAGTAATGATAATGATAAATGACATCAAATCAAAAAGAAAAAGAAAATTCCTCTTTCTTTCTTTTTTTCTTTCTCTTTTTCCTTCTCTACGGGTTCTCTGCATTCTTCCTGCATGTCTCATTTAGCAGTATGAGTGCCTCCCGTGATACCCGACTGCCCGCCACGCTGCACTCCACCAATCGTCTACATCGACTGCAGAGTAACCGCACCGACTCATCCGTGACGGCGGTGCCGGCGAGATCCAGTGACTGCAGCAGCGGGCACGTCGCCGCCAACACATTCACCTCCGCGTCGGTGATGTTTGTTTCGCCGCTGAAGCTGAGGAATCCAACGCAGGGGCCAATCGCCTCCAGCCACAGCGCCACCTCCTCCTCCGACACCTGCCGCACTCCGCGGGAAAGCAGCACACGAACCCGCGTCTCCACATACATCTGTTTCCACGAGCCGCAGTAACTGCTGTATCTCTCACTTCCATCACCAGCCTCTCGCAGGTAGCGCAACCACCAGAGAAGATCAAAACCATCAGTAACAGCAGAACCGCCAAGTTCCTCCATGTGTATCCAATCCCGCACACCGTAGGTAAAGAAAAAAGAATCTGTAGAGAGTAATTCCCGTACTTTATTTGCCTCTTCATCGTAGAAGCGTCCAGAATAAGGGCAGTAAATCAAAGAGATAAGGCGAAGTGAGAGAAGGGGTGCTTGTAGCTCTAGTGTCATTTTCAACAACCTTTCCAGTTTATCCGGGTTAGGATTAAGTTCACGAAGCTGTGTAGCCACCTCTTCCTCTTCTGTATTCATGTGCTCCGCAAACACTCGCAATTCCGCATAATCAAACTCTGGAAGTGGTACACGCATTCGTTCACCTTGTAGTGTCAGGCAGCGAAAAGGACTCAACGAATATAAAGGAACCTCACGTTGTTCTCGAGATACAAGTGTTACATGTCGCAATGGAGTAGTAGTAGTAGTGGTGCTGGTAGATTTAACGTTTCGGATAAAATTTTCATCAGTTTTCTTTTCTTCAATATCGTTGTTGCTGTTCTTGTTATTGTTATTGTTGCTGGTACTAATATTAAGCTCATCCAGTACTTCTTCATGTTTTTGAAGGGCATCATTGTAAGCATGCACACATTCTGTTAACTCAAATGCATGAAGAGCGGAGTTCGCAACACGCAGCAACTCCTGCAACTGATTCGCATCATTCGCCGCACGTGCCAAACAAATACGCAAACCGTCTGTGGGAGTTTCCACAACATACTGTGAACCGGTATAAAATAACGGTTCTGGTGCATCTGTCAATATCTCATTATCTAACACGGATGGTCGGTCGCGGGCGTTAAAGATACTACTCCACTCTTGCAGAAGAGCGCATCGTTCATTCCATGCCTGCTCCTCTGCCTCTGCACGTAAATTCTCCAATGCGGCGCCATCTACAATATCTTCCGCAGCCTCAACACAGGAAACCATCGTCTCCATAACTTGTCCAACCACCGCTACAGCACCACCCGCTACAGCAACATCAATGATCTCTTCCACAATCTCACGGGCGAAAAGGAATGCCTCTGCAACATTACCCTCACCAGATATAAATTCCATTAATGAACACGGGAGCTCATACACGGTGGGTGGACGAGACACAGAAAGCATATCATCCTCAGTTACATCATCAAAGCTATGGAGTGTTAATGGTGAATCCTTCACTTCTTCTGGGGCTGCAAGACGGCAAGTATAACCCTCTGTCATGGTATCATCAATTTCCTGAATACGCTGCAAGATAGATCCCCATCCTTGTTTTCCTGTAGATCTGAGTTGTAGCATTAATGACTTCATTGCAAACAGATTGGGATCTGTAGCTGCCGCTTGATTAGATACTGCAATATCCACAATTTGTTCGATAGAAAGGGAATTCTTACAGTTATCCTTTTCATTCTTTTGAGACTGATAGTACTGTTTCTTTATTCCTTTCTTTTCACTATCATCATCATCATCATCTTTTTTCTTCTCTTCCTTCACTGGTGTTACCTCTGGCATTTTTATATGATGACTAGCGTACTTTTGCACAAGAGTTTGACCATCTGTTTCTACCCAAAGTGCAAGAGTTCTTGTCCAGCTTAGAAGAAAAGTATACTTATCCATATCCATCATATAAACCATAACCTCACCTGTAGGATTTAATCGAATCGCCTCATCCGATGTAAAGGGTTGTATTGTTGAAGAAAGCTTCCTGTATGCCAGATCCACCTCATCTGCGAGACAGTTGTATACATGATGCCAATAGCGGCGCAAGTGATGATCATCCACTACTCGCACAAGTTTAAATGTCATTGGCACAAGACCTTTAGGCGCCTCAGGAACTCCATCAACACAGCATAGTGGTGGTGGGTAATACCCAACTGCAAAAAAAGCGTAAATTGACTGTTCCTCATCCAGTGCAAAGAGTTCCAAATCATAAAACTGTTCTATTTTTAATCCCACAGCCGCCTCCAATGTTGCCAAAGCGTAACTTATTTTACTTTCAAACGATGCACCCTCAACTGGAGGTTGTGAAAGATCTTCTGGTAGAGGTAGTCCAAGTGAGTAGGTTGTTTGCTGACGATAATTTAAACTCTGTAACCAACGCCACTGTGATAATGATGGGGATTCCTCACTTACTTTTACTAAAGGTGGTAAATTTCTATTACATTCGGGAACCAGCATCAACATTCCATCTGAACACACGGAGGAAAGAAAATAACCAAGATAAAACCCTGGGGTCAGACGTTGTGTGAGGCTATCACGGTATTCAGATGCAGCAGTTAAATATCGAACACACTGCCGATAACGATTGGGTAAAAATGCCACACGTGCCGTTTCCGAACAAAGCAAAGACTGTGAATATATAAAATCTTCCAATTCTTGAATATCATGCCATACCCCTGCAGATCGTGGAATCGTAACTTCTGAATCTACCTCACAAATAGTGAGAATAAAAAGAGAACCTATTTCCTTGTGCAAAATAGGGGTATCAAAAATGTAACCCAAAGTTGGAAAAATGTTAGCGTTTTGAAGTTTTTTGGCGGCTCTAATAAAACGAGCTTTAAAAGAATTTACACCACGATTTGTATACATGGCATCCCATTCTTGTAATTTTTCTTTTGCCCAATTTTTATTAGCTCCACCAAGACGAAGAAGCCATTGGTAATCCTCACAATCCACTCTAAGTTGTTCAAGTTCTTCCTGTGTGGGTTCATGTTGAATAACTTCTGCAATTAAATTTCCATTCACATTTGTGAAAATCCTATTTTTGCCATGGAAGCAAACAACTGCAAGGTAAATACCTGGTGGGTGAGAATGGGTCAAACATCTCATCCGCCTCTCCTCCAGTAATGAACGCTCAAAGTCTGCAGTCTGTGATGGAACCAGAGGTTTGAAACAAGGCTCAAATGGAATATCTACAGTCTCATATCGTGACTTCCACAATAACATTGTACGATCTGTGTAATCTAGAAGAACAGCAAGGCGGAAGCAATTTGCTGAGAAATCCGGTAATTGCTCACCCATTTTATAAAGTCTCTGTTGTAGTATTTGTGGGAGATTTTCATTCATGTACGGTGTAGGAGATAAAATAAGTTCCTCTATCACTCGAAGATGATTCGAAAGAAGAGTAGTAAAACTAGAATCCGTAACTTTATCATCAAAACGTTTTGTAAACTCAATCCATTCTTGAACTACTTTATCTCTCACTTGTGGTGTTCGAAGAGAAATACGCAATCGTGCAAAATCATCATCCATCATAGTACCAGTGTGTTCCGTATCAGAATAAATGGTATTCAGTACTTCCAATACATTTAAAGGTTTTTCAAAACTGTAGTGCGCAGCAAACTCCACACTATATGCTCGCATCTTAACAACTCGTTCAGAGTCATTTCCATCACCGTACATAGAAACCATAGCTATTTTTAATGCGTCATGAAACCATCCAAGATGTTCTCTATCTTTGAAAGAAGCCATGAACTCTATGCCATCCACACGGAAGGTAACTTGATGATGTGACTTTTGTGGAAACTCTAATGATCCCAAAAGTGGGTAGGCTGCGATAACAGATGATTCCTTTTCATTTTTTAAAGGTTTCCTGATAATAAAAAAACAGAATGCTCCAGTCCAATCACGTACTACAGCAAAAATTCTACTTTTGGGTCCTTTAAACCCTTCTTGTACAGGAACAGCACACAAGACACGTATCTCACCCAAGCCAGTTTCTGTAAATACTGTAGTTTCTAGTTGAGGTTCAATACAGCTACGGTGTGCAGATGGATTATAAAGAAGATTTTTGTAATATTGATTTTGCAAGAAACGTCCATTTGGTAAAAATGGTGAGAGTGGAAGTGGTAATTCTTCTTCATTTTCCTCCCCTTGTACTGTCTGTGAGCTAAGAGCTATAGGGATAGAATTAGTATTGGAATCTATAGTATTATACCTCTTCTTATCACGCGAAACATTTCTCACAATACCAAGTTTTGCTTGTAGTGTCATTGTTGATATCTCTTGAAGCATTGCCCGGTTTGTAGTCTTTGATGCCCGCTTTAATGTCAAGAGGGAGTCCAATTGTCTAAGAGCAGCGTGATGTAACCAATTGGAGGAACTCTCATCGTATTCTTTGGGACTATTGGTTGCCATATACTCGTTAGCAATATTGTTTACTATTATCATCTTCTCATCCTCCCCTATAATATTATTAATGTCTTTTGATACTATACACTCCTCTAGTACTTTGACTGCTTCTATGCGAAGAACTTGTTGTTGTGATTCTGTCCATTCCTTTTTAATACTAAACTCTTTTTCCATAACTTTACTGGGGAACTGTATTAGGGAAACATCAGGAAGTTGCCAACGTGTTTCCTCTGGATTTCCCCACTGTGCATACGCCACTTCACCTGTTTCTAATGTTATTTCCACCCAAGCATCACCTGCTGGTTGGGCATCTTGTACCCACACAAGAACTTCTTCACCACCGCCGTATGCCTTTGATTCATCCTCTCGCAGCTCAGACCGGTAGACGGTACTGCCCACAGTGATGCGATGTCCAACAAGGGAAGAAGAAGAAGCCACAGGAGAACCAGAAGCAGAAGAACCTCTTCTCATTTTACCGGTTTTCCTTCCTTTTTTGTCGCTGTTATCCTTACTATCCTTTTTTCTGGCAGTATGCTCTCTTTCTCTCTCAATATCTTCATTTTTACTTGTCGGAGACTGTACTGTCTTTGTTTCGTCTTCACTCGACTTGTGCAAGCGTTTTTTCTTGATGTCTGACATGATTCTTCCCGTTCTTGTTGTTCCTGTTGTTGTTTTTGGTAATCTTCTTTTTTCTTTATGATCAGTAGATTCCCACCCAGTATTTCTTTATTTTTTTTTTTTTTTCTTTCCTCCCTTGAAACTCCGAGTAACAACACGCTTCTCTTTTCCCTTGTACAGGAAAGGCACGGACTGTGGGAGATGATAACAGGGTTTTGTTTTCCCCTCTTCCTTAAACGTGGGGTGGAAAAAAAAAAAAGGAAAGAAACCACAGGAAAAGAAGAAAAGAAAGAAACACTAATAAGGCAGGAAAAGATCATTGAAAGCAAAGGTCACACACACACACACACTCCCCATATAAAAGATAAATAAATAATAATAATAAAGGAAAAACGTATTTACCAGGTATAATAATGATTGGCAAGAAGCTCATCCAAGCCGTAAACATGTTGTTGTGTTATGGATGCAATAAATCAAACAACACAAATCCCACTCATATGTCCTAAAAAAAAATATGACTATGTCTGTGCATGTGTACCGCAAGGCCAAGATACGCTATTGTACCAAATAAACAAAAGACGGTAGTCGTCATTCTGTAGGTATTAGTATAAGGAATCCGTTGTATAAAAGAACAGACTGAGAAATAAGTGACTCTTATCACTCTTCTCCATTGTCATACCCCTTTATTGTCGTTGAGATGAAAGAATGCGTCGTGTCAAGAAGCCAATCATTACCACAACAACTCCAAAGGTAGTTATTGTTATTCCATTTATATATTTTCTATTGGACCCTTCGCTCGGGCTCGGGCTCGTGCCATTACTTACTTTAGGGCACTTTCCAATATTCTTATTTTTATCCCCAAGAGATGTTATGTTGGAGGTAGCACTTGATAATACCGAGATTCCTTCATTCTCCTCTCCTTTGGGTGCACATGTTGTATTCCCCTTTCTCGTTGTCTCCTGAGAATCATTTGAGCTGTGCTTCTCATGCTGTGTTTCTGTGAGTACAGTTTTTACCGAACTAAAGGACAACACTAATGTTTGATACTTACCCGTTACGGTGTTGAGTGCCAGACAACGTCGACCATCACGAGAAATTGCCATAAGCGTAAAGGGCTCCTGAAGTTCCTCCTGCATACTGTCAACCAAATGTTTTTCATTCTTGTACTCCAACTTATGAACTTTGTTATTCCCTCGTAATCCCACAAGTACTTTGCGAGAAGAAAGTGCACAAGCCAGAAGAGGTGATGATGTACCATGAGTTACCTTCTCGTTTTGCTTAACGGGAAAGAAACGTTCAAACAAAGAGAGTTTCTTAATGTTACTTTTAGTAACGTAGTAAACCTGTACAGAACCATCATCGTAGAGGGCAAAACAAAAATATCCCACACCAACCGTGGAAATTAAACGACGGCCTCGTAAGGAAGGTTTCACCGAGTCCATTATTCGATTAGAATCCAAATTCCAAAATTTTAGTGTTTGACTATCTGGATAAAATAATGCCACTCTATCTCCCTGTAAAAATGCACTTGTCGCTGAGTCGGGCACAACACGGTTGAGTTTTTCGTTTTTCCACTTATATATAGTGCAACCACTAGGGCCACAAACCACCAAGTACTGCATTCCTGACCACAGCAACTGAGTAGCCTTTATAGTTGTTACTTCAAAAATTGCATCCCCAAGTTCATTATCGGCAAACGTGTAGAGGCGAATCAAAGAAGAACTGCCACCCGACGGAGATGGAAGCGCCAGTGCCATCATGGTTTCATCCTCAGAGCATGCAAAAGCAAAAACTTCGCCGCCGTAAATGATTTGTGCCTCCTGATTTGTACCCCTCTCGAGTAAGAGAAGTTGTTTTCTGTTATTTATGAACACGAACTCACCATTCCGCAAGGTGACCATGTCTCAAAATAATTTCCCTTCAGGAAGAATCAGAAATGTACAGTCAACTTGACTGACAGTTTTTTCCTCCTTTTTTTTTTTCTTTTCCCTTTCTTTTTTTTTTTTTTAATCCAATAAAATCAAAAGAGAAATTAAATTTATTTTTAAAAAAAAAGAATTAATACAATGCAAAACCATCTAGTTCACATAAGAACCAAGTAAAAAAAAAGATAATAAAAATAAATAAATAAAATAAATAAGAAACCCTTAATGTTCATTAGCAAAAAGGTTCAAAATAAGCAAAACTTTACATCATCTATCCACCGTGTTTCATCCTGCAACAGCAATACGTTGTCGAACACGGTATCCACGAAAAGTAGCTTGAATAAGAGTAGCCTTTTTCTCCATCTCGGAGAGTGGAACCACATAAGACTGAAAATCTTTTACATGATTACTATGCATAAGCCGTTTTTCTGTAGTTGTGAAAACTTCCAAAATAAGACTAAATCCAGAAAAGAAATTATTGGTAATACGCTTCCGTGCTTCACTCTCTTCAGCGGAAAGTTCACCCACCCATAGTGGAGCCCTTACGGTTCTTGGTATAGAGGAGTCCTCATCATCAAGTACAGGAGGAACACGTCGCCACATCCATCCAGGTTTCACTTGACATAATTTCAAGAAACAACTATCCAAAAACTGTGTTGCCACATGTTGACGATGAATAGTCTCAAAGTGAGACATATCGGATAACGCAGATACAAAGAAGGCATCTATAATACGCAATCGTTCTGTTTCTTCTCTTCTCTCCAAAACCCTTCGTGCCTCTTCTGATGTATATTCAATGAAACTCCACCAAACCAGTGCGTTACTATCCTCTTCAATAAACTCTCGCTCCACCGTTTCATCACGCACCAGTACCTGTAAGGCATTATCATAGGCCTCATTAAATAAAGCATTACGCATCCGCACCAGACGTGTCAAACCTATTAAATATTCTTCCATAAGTTCTGTTCGTGCCACTCCCTCTTCAGGTAACTCGCTGTAGAATGGAAGGCCCCAGTGTGAAAGTAACGCCACTGGTAATTGTATATCGGACGGTGTGATCTGTGTGGGAACCTTCTCCAACGGTTGAGATCCCTCTGGTGTTGTTTGCATCACCGGCAAGACAAACATGATTAAAACAAAATAAGTACTATCTTCAGGCTTATAATACCCCTTTCTTTTCTTTTTTTTTTTATTTACTAGTATCTATACCTGACGGGGGAAGTGGACAACCGCTACTCGTTCCACTTTTAACTTCAACGCCCAGTACTTACTATTACCACATAATGAAAGGAAGAAATAAAAACAAAAAAAAATGAAAAAGAGAGAGAGAAAAGAGAAATTAATAGGAAAGTATACATAAAATATAATATTTATCGCCCTCGTTTTTTTTTCTGCTTTTTTTGCTTTCGGGATACCATTGGACAGAGAAAAGCAGTAGATAACGTCAAAAAAAAAAAAAAATTGTTGCGACTTCTTCACCTCTTTTTTTTCTTACTATCCTTTTAATAATAAAATTTATTTTTTTTTTCGTATTACACCTAATTTTATGTAGGGAAGAGTATTATATACTGCACCGTACTTCATCTCTCTTTGAACTCAATGTTCTGTACCTCTAGCATTAGCAACCACACATATGTTGTTGTTTTTTTCCCTATTTCTTCCCTCCTTTTTTTTTTTGGCTGGTTGTTTGTTTGTTCCTCATATCTCTCTTTTCCCTGATGTTTCAAACTCCAGGGTGAATCCCTTAATTAATCATCTAGGGAATGAGAAAAAAATGAGAGCTAGAGCAAAATGAGAGTAGCAGGGTGCTCAACTTCGTATTTGTATTACTCGACGGATTGACTCACTCTTTCATATTTCTTTCAATTCTTTCATTCTTCTTAACGTCTGTCACGTTTACCATTTATTTTTACTTTACCAGTGAAGAGATGTTTCGGGCGGAGGTTTGGTACGTGGTGGTCACCCTCTCCCTTCTTGGCCTGTTGGTTGAGTGGACGTGCCTTCACCTTACTCAACTTCACCGCGCGAAGCTTCTCATTGACATCTCTGAAACCTTCTCCTCGGCTAACACTCAGTGAGCGCTCACGGCTCGCAGAACGAGCGCTAATACTACGTGTTGCTTTAGTGGACACATGAGTTGAACCAGAACGGTCACGCATAACTGCCTCTTGTGCAACAGACAATGAACGACCCCTCTTTTTACCAGCTGTAGTGCCGGAAGCTGCTGGTGTGGCAGAGCGTGAAGCTTGGCTACCTGTACGGCTATTAAACCTCTCAATAGCTTCAGATTGTTTTCGGGTGCGGCGAATGGCAGGATTTTTAAGTGCCTTCTGCATTTTGAGAACCTTAATTTTGTCTTTAATAAAACGAACTGCTTCAATAGTGCTGTCGTCCAACTCATATTGAGGACGCTTTTTAGAAGCCTCAATTTCCATTTCTTGAAGTCGTGCTTCTTCTTCTGCCTCCAACTCCAATAACCGTTCATGAATATCAGGGTCAATATTATCATAAATGTTATGTCCATCCATGATATCAGGAATAATATCATCATTCCATTCCGGATTCTCCAGATCCCAAGTTTTACGTTCATTTGGTTGGTACTGTCCTGGTCCTCCATTCTCCCATTCATAATCACGTTCCGTCTTTCGACGTACACGTGGTGGTCTAGAACCGTCATTTTCCTCATCGTCATTCAACAAAGATGGAGGAATGAAAGCTGGTCGTTCCACGTTATCACGTTTTTGTGGTACAGCACAATAGAGACGATTTTGAATAGCCTGGAATCGTCCACTTCCTTCTTTCTGTTCAGATCGGTGTGTTAAAAGGGTATCACAGGCCAATGTTTTTAAATCGCCTACTCCAACATCTGTTAAGGTACTGGTTGTAATCCATTTTGCCCCTGCCTCTTCAATGGCTTCCATGATAAGTGAATGTTCCTCTGGTGAGACATCGTCAATGGTACAGATATCACTTTTATTAAAAACGACAACCACTGGTTTTCCTGTAAATAAAGGTCCAATAGACTTGAATAGGGAAACTTGTTGTGCAATGGAATATCCGCACTGGGTGCTAAGGTCCATAAAAAACAGAATACAAGCTCGGAGATGTGCCAATGCAGTAATTGCTTGCATTTCAATGACGTTGCGTTCTTCAAGGGAGTGATCAAGAATACCAGGAGTATCAATCACCTGCCATCCAGCATACTTGTAATCGGTGTGTCCAACGAAGAGAGATTTGGTTGTAAAGGCGTACGGTTGCACCTCTACATCTGCGCGGGTTACCTTATTCATGAAACTTGATTTTCCAACATTGGGGAAACCCGTCACAAGTAATGTTCGGGCATTCGGATCAATAGATGGGAGTCGAGACATGTGCTGACGAACCTTCTCCAAGTAGACCATTGCATTTGCGAGTTTCTTGCAGGCAGTTGCCATACGACCCAATGCGGCGCGTTTTAGCTGCTTGCATCGATAGAGAGAATCACCATACTTTAATAGACGAACATAGTCGCGCCCAATATTATCCACCATGTGACGTACTGCTCCCACTTGACCTAGAGCCACCTTGTAATGGTCACGATCATAAAGCACGTGCATAAGGTCGCCATAAAAAGGGTGAATATCATCCATTCGAGGAAACTCCACAAGAACATGGGTCAGTTTTTCATTTATCGTCTTTTGTGTAAACTTTACCTTCCGCATATAGAATTGACGAATACGGGAAATATGATATCCCCTATGCACCACAGTAGGAGTCTTACGCTGTGTCTTAGAGAGTACAATGTCCATAAAGTCCTTGTACGTCGGGACGACGGTCATCGTCTTGAAATTGTAAATGGTAGACATTGTAAACACACTCTTAGACTTCTAATGGTTGTTAGTTATTTTTCTTTTTTTTCCTTTACAGTGCCACTTATTTCGTGTGTTTCCCTTGTTTGTTTGTTTGTTTGTTTGTTTGTTCGTTTTTCTTCTCCCCTACCCTTCTCTCTTCTTTTCCTTTTTTTTTTTGCCCTTCTTTACAGGGGAATTGGTACTTCAAGAAAAAGTTGGAAGGAACAACTTGTGTATCAATAGATTACAGTCATTAAAACAAAAATAAAAAAAAACAGACGTAAGGGATAAAAAAAAAAAAGTGAAACACATATAAATACAGAGTCTTTATATTTATATAAAGACTTAATAAAATATAAAAGTATGGAGAATTTATACCGAAGTACTCCAATAACTGTTCAAAATTCAAATATCTCATAAAACCTCCACAATAATGTATATGACTATCAATGTTAAAATCTGGAATTAAGCCAGAGTGTTATGGTGAATTCTCTATCGAATAAGTGCTGTAACCTCCCATTCCGTCCATATTCACTATAGAGTGATGTAAAGATTTCAACGCCTCACGGTGTGAAACGGTTATCAATGTCATGCCCCGTCGCTGTAACATCTTATACAATGACAACTCTACATCTTGCGATATGGCACTGGTACATTCATCCAGAAAGAGAAACATGGCCTGATGGTACATGGCCCGCACAAGAGCCACTCGTTGCCGTTCTCCACCAGAAAGAACTTCACTCCACTCCTTTTCTGCATCCAACCCACCTTCACGCTCTACCACAGACAAAAGACCCACTTTCTCTGCGAGATCCAAGAGTTTCTTATCTAATAACTCACGAGTCTGTGGATCTTCTTGCTTCTCCAATGCAGGGTACATCAACTGTGTGCGAAGGTTACCAGGTGGGAGGTACACCCGTTGTGTTACAAAGAACATGTTTGCATCTGTAGGATGCTGCAATGATCCTCCCCGCAGTGGCCATAGTCCAGAAAGTACACGGAAAAGTGCCGTTTTTCCAGAGCCATTACTTCCTAGTAATAGTACGTGATTTCCAGGTTTAAATGTTGTGGTAAAATTGGTAACAATAATTTGATCAGCAGGAGAAACAATAGCTGCATCTTTAAACACAATTTCATTACTGTCGGTTACTTCAACTGCATTACTATTAGTATCTAGTGAAAGTCTATCAAAAGCAGCAAGAGCATCCCGTAATTCACCAACACGGTGAGCACTACCACACAATGCGCTAACCTTCATGTGTAACGAAAGTAATTTTCCCACTGCTATAGATAAAGGAATATAGAGTTGCGTACTTCGAACATTTAATTCTGTTAGTGCTGCTGCATCAAGATTATTCCTTTCTCGATAAACCACTAACGAACAAACAGTATAGCCAACACAAGTTGCTCCATATTTAACCAGTATCGAAATTAATAAAGAAGAGAACCACTTTGCCCGTTTTATACGTCGCTCCAAATGGACAAAAGAGTTCAACATCCTATTAGCATTTCCCCTTTCTACCTCTGCACCACGATAAAATGCTACTTCCTCTGCATGTTGAATTAATTGTGTGTGCATCATACGTAAATTACCTTCTTTTTCTCGACTTTTTGCCACCATATCTGCAAATTTTGGCATTAACCATCGAAATAGGAAAGCAACAAATATATAATATGAAAACATCAAAGTTGTAGAAGAACGTCCACCACATTTTGCCAGAGCAGATGAGAAGACGACAATATCGATTAACGGTTTCACTACAGCAGAAAGAACTCCTGCTAACTCGCTACAGAAACGTTGAACATCATTTGTTAAGCGGTGTCCTGGGTTATCTACAGATCCGTTCATTACCACATCATACACCTTATGTCCTTTAAAATAGTCCCTATGCAAATCATTTTGTAATCTTTCACGAAAGCGCCGCTCCAGTGTAGAAGTTATGTATGTGATACCAACAGAAGTGACAGTGGAGGGAATAGCGTATGCAACAACATCCATCACACCAAAAACAAACTGTTTGACATCCTTTTGCACAAGTGATTTGCTATTCATTCCCATCAATTTGGCAAATTTCAGTGTTAGCTTAGTGCGCAACATAAGGAGGATCGCCAACACAAGTGTTAGGCCTGATTCCATGGAATATACATGGGGGAAACAGATATGGAGAAGCCCCATAAGTCGTCTAAAAAGAGTTCGATCAAATCGAACAACAGGCTGCCGGCGCACTCCACCAACTCTGCGCGGAACACGACGTTGAGACTGTGCTTCACGACGCGAACGTACCCGTTGATAAACACCATACAATAATATCACGGCTACAAAAAGAACAAGTGCACGAAAGGGGGCCATTGAAGCACCAAATCTAACAGGAATCATCTTGGCAGATGTCAACCAAAAGAAAATAAAAATAATGTGTTTTGTTCTTTTTTTTTTTCTTTTGTTTCTGTGTTTGTTTTACTTTCGTTGCCCACCTGAATTTATTTCCAATGAGCCAGAGCCTGGGAACACTACGTCGTCGGAGAGAGAAAAAGAGAAAAAGTAAAGAAAGAAAAAAAAGAGTATAACAGGTTTTCGTATGTGTGTGTATGTGTCCATGTATTTGCTATAGATATATATATATATCAGTATCAACATTATTATCTCTGCTGCTACAGAGTCGAACTGTCTTTCCATCTCTTTTACTGCAAAAATCTTCATTGGACCCTCATTGGGGCAGAACAAGTGAATTTGGACTTGGGAAAAAAACACAAGGGATCACAGAGGAAAATAATTATAATGGTACATCAATACCACCTCTCCTGAATTGTATTTTATATACCTGTACAACGAGAGAATCACAAAAAAAAGAGGTCTGGAAATGGGAATGTTCAAGGTAATAATAATAATAAAGGGTGGGGGAAAAACACAGAAAAAAAAAAATAGGAAAAAAAGGGGTGTAATGAGAGAAACCTGCCGTCATATACCAATGTACCTTACTTTTCCGTTGGCATGAGAAAGGTAATGAACTGGCATGTTCTCATATGCACAAACACACACACACAAATCACACAAAAACGTTTACTAAATATATATATATACACAGATAATAATAAAAAAAGTACACAGACAGTATCACCGTCTAAGACCTCTTCAAATCCAAGAAAGGTCACAGACAAAACAAAAATAACAACAGTAATAATAATACAGAAAAAAAAGGAGCTCGGTGTACACACACAGTAGTGAACAAAATTCATTAATATACATATGTTCGCCCCCCTCTCTGTTTGTAATGTGTAAGTGTATGTGTGTCTGTGCACGTATATATTTGTGAGTGTTATGTGATCATTTTCAGGAATTTTTTTTTTTTTCTAATGACAAGTCGTCAGAGCTCTCCTCGTCTCAATTCGCCTTCCTTTTAGATCATATCATCATCTTCCTCTTCGTTTCTGTACGTACCATGCATTCATGAAATGCAGAAAAGCAGGAACCCAACCCACTGGGGATACCAGAGATGGAAGAATCAAAAGAGTGATAGAATACAAGAAAAACAATTTAAAAAAAAAAAGAAATTCACCCTCACACACTTCCTTATTCTTGTCTTTCTTCCTTCTTCTCCTCCTTTTTACCTCCTCCTTAACGAGGACCAATCTTGGGTAGATGGGGTACATTCCACGTCGATCTCGTGGCACCGTACCCGTTTGTCCCTGCCGCGTGCACGGCCGTGCCCTGTGGTGTGCCTGCTGGTAGTTGCCGCTGCTGTGTTGCCGGCTCCTCAAAGGCGTCTGCTATCCACGGGTGCCGCATCGCCCGCCGCGGGGGCACGCGCTCCTCTGGCAGCCAGCAGAGAAACTGCCGTACATATGCGACGAAGGCGTCATCATTGGGGAGTCCGAGAAACGCGGCGAGGGACTTTGTGCCTGGATAGCGGATGCGGCGCCGGCTGTTGGGGACGAGGCGGGGGGCGTAGTCGGCGGCGGGATCGAAGAACTCGTGTTTGCGGGGGGACTGCATGATCATCTCGCGTGGTGGGGGGCCAAAGTACTCCATAATGCACGCCAGCTGCTCCTGCTCGCTCTCGCCCGGCAACAGCGGGTAGCCGGTGGCGAGCTCACACAGAACACACCCATAGCTCCATAGATCAATCCGCTTGCTGTATGGGCAACCGAGTATCACCTCCGGGGCACGGTAGAAACGAGATTGGATGTATGTGTAGATGCGAGCATTTTCAAAGCAGGCAGATCCCAAATCAATCACTTTTACAGCAGCCCGGTCAGGTGCTTTTAACAGTATATTTTCAGGTTTTAAATCACAGTGAATAACATTTTCACGCCACAAATAGGAAAGGGAAACCAAAACTCCAGCACCAATTTTACGTACAACATTTAACGACAATGGGTGAAAATTGCGTTGTTTCAAGTACTCGTACAAGTTTATAGATAAAAGTTCGTAGGTGATGCATATGTGAGAGCGAAATGAAAAACTTTCAAACATTTTAACTATTCCGTATAACCCACCGGGGTCACCTTTCCCTAGATGTGACAATATCTGTACTTCTATCTTTCCTTGCGCCGTAAAACGCTTTTTATTTCTAATAATTTTTAGTGCAACTGTGGTTCCCTTGAGGTGATCAATAGCTTTCACAACCTGACCAAAAGATCCGCTCCCCAAGAGGCCCAACATCTCATAACGGTAGGCTATGTGATCATGTTCTCTTATCATATAGTCTCCCCTTTCATCATCGTACCCACTATTGTGGCCTCCTTCTATTGGGGCAGGAATTTTACGTTCACAATTCTCACCCGCGTAATACACATCACTGTAGTTTTGAATTTCTTTTTTCTCGTATTCTGTTAAATGGGAGGCGTAGCGCTCTGCAGGAGGTAATACATCCTTCTCTGGTATTTTTTCTCGCAAAAGCGTATTGCGGGGGGACCTAGTTGCCTGCTGTCTATACCGCTGCGGGTGCGCTAAGCGGTGAGGCACCTGTGAGGCCCCTCGCCGCATGTTACGTGTATAATACATTTTTTGTGCTTTTGTATTAGTTTAATCATGATGAATAAAACAAACAGAAGAAAAAAAAAAAAACAAGAACGGAAAAACAGTAGGGTAGATGTATTTTTACTTATAAAGAGATGGTTGAGAGTACATGAAGAATCATAGATAGATACAAAAAAAAAAAAAAAACATGCAGAGAGAGAGAGAGAGAAAGAGCGCAAAAGGTTAATTGGATTGATAGATGAAACATCTTTAGATGAGAATGAATAAATGAAGGAAACAAACAAACAAAGAAAAGATACTTGTGCCAATTAGGGGGAGAAAGTGTATATTAAACATTCCCTAAGAGTCACCATTATTCACATCATATAAGCCTCAAAGCCATGTGTCATTGTCTCCAATGTTGCATACCAAGTCATCCATTCGTTTGCATTTTCAACTGGGTTTGGTTCGTGAAGAATAAAGAAACGCTCAGAGTAATCCTCGAAGCCTATTTCTGTGATAACATGCTCTGACGCATTACGACCGCAAGGTAATTGGATAGATGGATTACTCTCAATTATACTTAAAATAGATTGTGCAGGTGATGATGAATACTCTACTTGGTACCCCATCATATACCACAGAATCTCAGCACAAGAAAGAAAATCCCTGCATAAATGACATTTATTGCAAAAACTAATGTGTCCGTAATCCATCATCACTCTCACATTATTGCACCTAATACGGCGAATATTAGTATCCTCTGGTGTTGTTCGAAGAGCTTGCAGTAGTTCTAAAATATGTGAAGCTAGAAGTTTTCGTAAAGATTCCGGAACACTCAGAAGTATTTTATCAATATTCTGATCATTATAAACACTTACTGCTTTTACCAAACGTTTGTGTTCCTCTGTACGTCGTTCTAGTTCAGCTTTCCATTTTGCTTCTTCTCTATCTTTTAATATTTTCAGGATTTTTTCTTTCTCTGTTTTCTTAGCTTCTAATAATCCAACACGTACTTGCTTCTCCTCTGCTGAAAGAACAGCACGAGTCTGTCCTTCAAATATCACCAAGTCTGCAATATTGGTTGCGAGACGTTTTTTCCATTCCTCTGTCTGTGCCATGTGTAGCATGTGTTGGTCATATTTTTCTTGTGCCCACAAAATCGATGGACACTCCTCGAAGTTCAGCTTACTTTCTAAAGATAAGATCTCATCTTTCATAGATGCTTCAAAAAGAGTATCAACACACTCAGAGAATTCATCAAATAATTTTTTTATTGCTTCACACATTTTTTCATTGTAGATTTGGCGATCAGGATCCGTTTCCAAAGCTTTATGTAGGATTTTAACTAGTCTAGGTCGTCCATTTATGATCAATGACTCAATAGAAGCTGAACGTTCATGTAGTGTGACAGCATCCTTGTCATCATCACTTTTAAAGGCCTGAATCAATTGTGTAATCTCTTCACGAAGCTGTGTTACCAGCAGCGTCAGTTTTTTGTATTCCGTCATAATCAGTAAGAAAAAAAAGTAGCACAAGTAAGACGTACTGACCTGCTATCAGTGACTACTACTACTACTACTACTACTACTACTACTAGTACTACCCCTCCTCCCCACCCCACCCCTACTTCTATTATTACACAGTTGGGGACCGGAATAATAATAATAGTAATAATAATAATAAAAAGAAAAAATATAAAAAGAAAACAAATGAAGGATGAAACAAAACAAAACAAAACAAAAAAGAAAAGAAAATAGGACAAGAAGAACGGAGGTTTATTGTAAACAGAGAAAATAAAGGGCATCAGGTACTACCAGCAGAGTTCCACTCAATATGTAGACACCAACGCATGCAGAAACCTTTTCACTCCAATTGCAACCTAATTTTTTCTGCTAGAGAATTCACAAAATAATCTTCATCCACAATAGCCTTGTATGGGTTAGCTGCAACACAGTATTTCTCCTCTGTTATGCTATCTACGATGCTCTCTCCTGTTGCGGCATCTCTCATGTCTACAATAGATCTCTCATTTCCAATAAAGATATTATCATCAAAAAAGATGTAAAAGAGAGGTTCTACAAGAGATGTTGAAGGTCTAATGTGCACTGGAAAAACTTTTCCACCGCTACGACGTTCAGCTCCTTGCGCCCAAAAAGGATAATAGTCTACAAGTCCCGCAATATTATTTGTTGCAGCAGCATATTCCAAAAGCTGATTATGGAGTAAAGTAAAATTTGTTTCATAAACTTTCTTACAGGAAGGCATTCTTGACAACTGTGACAATATCTCGACCACAGGCAATGTCTCTGTACCCTCAGGTTGGCACACCATAGCAGCTTTATCTGGACCTAGGCAAAAAAATAACTTGTCATTCTCACGGAATATACACCCTGTTGCCTCAGGGACGTAGTTTTCCTTCATATGTTTAAGGATAGCTCCCCGAGGTTTATAAAAATGTTCCCCAAAAACAAATCTTTTCCACTCTTTGAGTACATTCGCCAAATCGTTTCCAAAAGTTCTGAATATCAGAGTAAAAGACCAATTAAGTTCAGAAAGTACATTAACAAATTTAAAAAAGGAAGGTATAATGGAGCAATCAGGTGCCGATGTTAATACCGCCTTTTGTTCATCAATATGATGCTTATATTTTTCTCCTGGTTGTCCTTCATGGGTAAATGTGCGTAATATAGACCTCCGCTTTTCCGAAATGTTCCGCCAAATAAAATCCTTTTCAGATTTGGGAAGTTCCTGCATACCCGGTGGCTCAGAATGCATATTATCAACAAATTCATCAAAAGTCATCAAGTCGGAACGATCCCCAGAATCGTGAGGACCCAGTTTGGGCACCCACTTTTCCCCTACTTGGGTTCCAAAGACATTCGCTGCGATGTTGCTGTTAAGAACATCCTCCATAGTTCTTCCACCAGCGGAATCTACTTGAATAATTGTTTTGTTGATGTCCATATGTATAACAAGGTGTCTTCTTGGGCACCTCTCCAGAAATGCGCGAGACATTCTCCCTTTCGTTTATATAATGAAAAATAAATAAATAAATAAAAACAAAAATAAAAATACAAGGTAAGAACGAGCAAAAGAGAAAAGAGAAAAACAGTACATAATTGCATGTGCAACGCATAGCAAAAAAAAAAAAAAACGAAAGATCAGTAAAAGAGAAGTCCTCTTAAAAGGATATCCCACTAGCATAACTACTGTGTATATCTAAAGGAGTAGGAGAAGAAAAAAAAATATATATATATCCCTAATATCATCTCAAAATTAGGTACGACATAGAAATCCTTCTACGAAAAAACGATAAAGATCAGGAATACTAACAAGGTGATTAGGGACATTTTTGTTTCGATCAGTCCACTTTTTTTCGTGTTATTTTTTTTTTTTTTTTTTTTTTTTTTGATAGAAAGGAAGAGAAAATAAAACTTTTTTAAAAAAACGTGAGGATCTTTAGAGGTCATCATCATCATCGATAATTATAGCCGGGTTGGCAGCACCTCTCGCTGCAGGTTTAGAAGCGAGGGGATCTTCATCAGAGTCATCATCTAGCACCACTCCTCCTTGTCGTGGGGGAGGAATAACAAGATCAAAGTCATCATCATCGTCGCTCAGCGTGACTCCCACGCCACTCTTCTGTGGAATAGTAGTTGAGACAGCAGGAGCAGTTGATGCTGTCAGCTTCTCATTTGTGATGTTAAGGTCATCCATTTCTGAATTCAGGGCTGCGTTAAGAATCTTATGACAGTGAGATTCATTTGTGACTCCAAAAGTCATTAAATCGGAGGCATCCATACACTGCAAAACGTCCAAATCAACATGCTGACTCAGCAACGTAGGACCATATTGTGGAAGTCCAATACGGTGGAGGAGTTTCGTAAGAGGATCTGCAGAATCAATGTCTGTGTTATCAAGAGCACCTGCAACCTCCCCCATATCTTGAGGTTGCTGTATTTCATTCTCATTAGATACTCCACCTGTGGCTTCTCTGTTTGCGTCGATTGCCTGACGAAGACGCATCTTGGTACTTGGTGGAACAGCTTTTAATTTATATCCTTCATCCCCACTCAGACGTAGCTGTTGTGAATCCACCAGTAATTCAGCGGTGGGAACGTTAATAGGCATGATGTTTAACCTCTTTCCAGTAGTTACTTGAAACAATCTACTCAGAATTGATGCAAGTTGTACACCTTCTGAGAAATCTTTTACCACAATGTCTGGTGCTGGGGATTTTATCTGTATAGCGAAAAATGTTGCATCAGCCCCGTGGTGAATCTTGCGTATATGACTGATCAAACTGCAGTACATGATAAGAGCACCTTGATTAAATATGTAAATAGCCTTGTCTCCCACTACCAAAATGTGCTGACCTGGTTGACTATCCTTTTTCACCAATGGTGTCACTAATGTGACAGAAGCAAAGAAGTGGATAACGGCTTTCTCAAGTACAGCGAACTTAAAAAGATACTCCAATGGAACTTGAGCAAAAGCCACGTTTGTACGTGGATCAACAGGAGGTAAGCCACAGTTGTATGGTTCCATTAATCCAGCAGCAGCGCATGCATTCCAAAGGATTTCATTCCACTCTTCAAAGACCTGACGACTTGGCATGCGGAGGGTCCACTGATCTTCTCTGCCATCTTCATGATTTCCATCAATCATCAAAGTAAATAACTCTGACATTTTTACTTCCATTACCTGGCAGCATCTCACCACTTTAGTTATAATAAGAACATCCTTTGGTGGTTTGCGGTCGTCTTCACTGTAGGATAACCTGCGTGACTCCTGTTCAAAGGTTACAAATCTCTTTTTGAAAGCTTTGGTAAAGGATGCCGTTTGCCTTTCGCACCAAACTGATATGGAACTCATCTCTTATTATTCTCCTTCTTTTATTTTCAACTTGCCTACAAAGTTTTTACACTCTTCAAAAGTCAACTGAATGGGTGAAAAAAAAGATATTTATATAAATATATAACGTAAAAAAAAAAAAAAAAATGCAAATCGCATCCTTTGTTATGGTGAAACATCCATAGATGTCACACTGTAAAAATAAAGTATGTTGAACGAAGGTAATAATCACATGTACGTACTTAAAAAGAAGAAGAACAATTGTAAGGATACAGGCTTTCTTCTAATGAGTACCAAAAAAAAAACTTTTTTCAGAAGCAATATCGTCAGAAAAAGTAATGTTGCAATCGTAATGGGTGCAATTTCGTGATGCGTGGAAAGATTTCAAGGAGATACCATAATATATGACCCACCAAATTTGCTACTATGTCTGCTTTTATTCCCCGCATATCATCAAGAATGGTCCCTATGACAAGAAAAACTATTGGAAGGAGCCGCACTCGCAACATTAAAAGTCCAAATAAACCTACCTCCTGTTCAGGAAAGAGACGACAAAAGAGGTACGTCAACGATCTGCAGAATACGAAACTAAGGTATGGAGAGTCAATAATACCAAGAGTTCGAACACCAAGTAGAAGAAGCATTCCTGTGAGAATGGTAAAGCAGTAATCCAATTTTCTCAGCCGAAAGTACTGTTGCTCAATGCTACTACTTACCAAGTAAAGCCAGTGAAACTCGATTATACTTTCAAGGTTTACTCGTCCAAAGTAGAAAAAGGTTGTTATTAACCTCCAATATTGTCTTTCCTGAAAAGTAAGGGTAGAACTAAACACCAGTTGCAGTGGATGGACGAGACCAAAGGAGACCAGCACAACGGAGGTCACTGCCAATAACAGCAGTGTTCCTGTTACTGGAGGAATGTTGTGCGGTAATCCAATGTCCATCACGCGAGTAGAGTACAATGACTTTATATGATACGCCCAAGTATACACGTATAATCCTTTCAAAAGTAGAAAACAATGAAATAGTGAAGATAAAAAAAAAAAAAAAAACAGAGTAGTCAGAAAAATTAAAATAAAAAGAGACCACATAGTCAAAGAACATTCATCCCCTACCGTAGTTATACCCTTTTTTCTTTTTTTTTATCGCTATTTTCCATCTTTTTCTTTTTTTTTCTTCTTTTTTGGCAACTAGAAGTTGGAGAAGAGTAACAGTATTGATATCACCATAATGACAGTGTTCATCGCCCCAAGAATTAGACCCACACGTCCATCCCATTGGTATTCCTCTGTGTTGCGAGTCTTGAGAAGCAAAACAAAGCTCACTACACTCAGTACCGCTGTTGTCAACGCGCACGAAATAAGAACAGTTCTATTAATAAAAGGACGTTCCCGCATGCGTGTAAATCCTACAAGTGTAGCCGCAGCAAGTAGTAAACCAATAAGCTCTATATTCCATTTTAGAATGGAATGGACCCACCTCCCACTACCCTCTTGGGAATACAGCAGAAATATTGAGACAAAAACAAAACATAAAACCAAACATAGCATAGGCCATGATACAAGAACATATTTCAGTTGAAACTGTGTTATGCCTTTTCGAGGTGCCATATGCACAAGATTACGTAATCCTTCCTTTATAAACTCATCGTACCTTTGCTCCAATTGTTGCAACAATTGAGTTTCATCAAGTTGTAAATGTCCAAGCTCCTTCTTTGAGCGTAGTATTTCCAGGTTTCGCTCATCTTCACGTGTGAAGTGTGACATACCTTTCATACAACCCTCGGTCCTGCATCTATACCTCCCTGGACAGGGAACAGCAAAAGTAACAGAGAAGGATAAACTGTTCATAAACCCATAATGGCAAAGAATATTTCAAACAAAAAGAAAAACAGGGATGGCGGAATATCATTTCTTTTTCAGAAAAGTTTCGCTTTCCATTGCATTTTCATTTGACACAGATAAGTCATAGAGTACCAAAAGGGTTGCGCACTACACTACAGGCAACAAAAATCACAGAAAACCATTTTTAAAAAAAAAAGTAGCCAAAGAAAAAAAGAAGTTCACTGCAATATATTTTTTTCTGCTCTCAGCAAACTACTGTGGATGTGGTGGTCAAAATACAAGGTATAAAAAAAAAAAAAATGAGAACAAATGTTTATTACTTTTTTCTTTTTAGTATTATAAATGTTAGTTGTATATAGATATATTACCGTTAACATCATCTTTAACATTGTAATATCCTATGTTGAACTCATAGATGAGTCACGGAGTTCTTCCGTCTCTTCAGAGGACTCACTTGATTGTTGAACCCCGTCCACGTCGTCTGTACCTGTAGTCAGTGTACCATTCTCAAAACTATCTCCTTCGTACGAGTCTGTATCGGTAGCAGCTCCAGCGTAGCTTAACTCACTTTCTTCTCCCTCCTCTTCATCATCGTCATCGTCTGTGTCGTCACCCTCGTCTGCGGTAGACCAGAAGCTGTCGTGATCCAATTCATCCTCATCCTCATTCTCTCCCAAATCACCTTCACTACCGTTTTCATGCTCATTTTGGGGAAAGGGGAAAGACTGCTGTCCTGGAAGCGGTCCGGATGAAGTAGAAAAGACCCGTACTACAGCCCCCACATCCTGTTCAAGAATAGCGGCACAGTAGCGGTCTGATGGATCAAGTGCAAAAGCTCGAAATGGTGGGTGTACCTCAGTGGAAAAAACTGTTTCAAAGGTGTAGCTCTCCACAACAGAAAGAACAGGGGAAGTAAAATTAGTAAGATTGGAAGCCTCACGAAAGCTGTAAATTACTCCTCCGCAAGAGTTAGCATGGAAACTGCTGGTTTTTTTAAAAGATGGTACTGTTTGTAGCATTGTCAAAGTTCGAAGGTCCCAAACTTTCTCGTCGATCAGTACAAGAAGATTAGAAGGGTGAAAAGCGTTGCAAAAAGACTCGGTAAAACGGTCAAACCTATATATAGGTTTATCACTACAACGAATATCCCAGAGAACAGCGTCGCTTAGTATAAGTTGAGATGTAGCATCAAAACTAGCTACATTATCTAAATTTTCACCAACCCATGATGGATCACTAAAATGATGCACTTCACGCTCTGCTGAAATATCATACAACCTACAAGAGTGTTGTTCATCACATGTTGTTAAAAGATAGGTGTTGCAATTTGAAAATCTCGCAGCTCTACTACCCTCAACACGATACTTGACAACTGGTAATGAATCACGTTGCATAACAGCTATCGTATGATCAGAACTCACTACTGACAACAGTACACCATCATTTGATACAAAAATTCCCGAAACACTATCATTGTCAAAAGCCAGATGTTGCTCTAATAACTTATCACTAGAAGAATCATCTGGGAAAGTATCAAAAAGAACTAGTCCTCCTTCTGATGTTCCTACAATTAATGTTTCACCATTATCACAGAATGCAATACTGTATCCTTGTAGTCCATCATCATCACCACCGGTAATATCATATAAATGTCCTGGGTATCGATAAATGAGATGATTTTCATTAGTTCTCATGCGTAGAGAAAAATCCATACCCATTTTTTGGGCTAATCTCCTATTAAAAGCGTTTCGAGTATGATCAACAGGTGCAACAGGTGGATAATAAACATGACTTTTCCTTAAGTCAAATTGAGGAAGTGTAGCAATAGGGTTGGTACATTTTTCATGTTGTTGTCTTAAATAAGAACGTATTATAGAATCAAGAGTTGGTGCACCAATTTTTGATACTGTTGTTACATCATTTGTCAAGTTATTTGGTTGATGCAATATTGAAGAGTCTGAAGAAATATGAGCATCATGTCGTAGAATTGAAGCTGCATTTTGTAACCCTTCAGATTCCAAATGGCGAGAAATCAATTCTAATAATGATTCTCGTGAATAACTAATCTGAGAACGAGCAATGATAGCTTGCCTTTGCTCTAATTCTACAGGATCCACAGAAACTGTTAGATTCGCTTTATTTGTTTCATCAGATAAAAAACATTTTACATTATCCATAAAACGTCCAGTTGCATGAACCTCACTTCTTGAATAACGAGGACCCATCATTGATATATATTCTTTTTGAACATCTTCGTATTGTTTAAGCAATTCTTGAGCCACTGTTTTTACTCCTAGCGCATCAAAGAGAATACGAGTGTCAGCATAACGCCTAAGAGTCACCATTAATTGTAGAGCTCGAGCGACCACTGGAAAAAAATGTAGTTTAGCTGACATTGCCGCATCTTTTTTTACTCTCAAAACCTCCAATAAAATTCGAACTCCGTCATTAGCTCTGATGACACTACATACTCGATTAAAGGATGCCACAGCTGCTTCATCATTTTTATCAATTGGGGGTACTGTCAGATGCAAAAGAATTTGTAAAGAAGTAGCAACACATGGTATTAGATGTAATTCCCTAGATGTATTTCCACTCTGAAAAGCAGCAACTAAATCGCTTACTATCATTATCAAATGTACAATTCCAGATTCAGGGTATCGGGCGTCTGCAATTAAAGGTCGAACAAATGGAACTACTGATAGAACACAAAGAACATTTAATGAAGCTGCAAGCAACTCCCATCGACTCTGAGAAAAATAGAATTGTGCACAACGTAGTAAAAGTTGATGAAAATTATTATCTATTAATGAACGAAAAGGAGTAAGTCTATCACAAGCAAGTAAACTTTGAACAGTTTCAATAGAAATATCGGGAATAGATGCTGAAGTTGCCGAAATAAAACTAAGAAAAGATTCAACAGTTGCTGGATCTCTAGGTAAAGAGACTTCTGCAGAAGAATTGGTTACCAAAACCGACAAATAACGATGTTTTCTAAATAAAACCCTCGTAGATAGCATTAAATGAGAAACAAGATAGACGTAAAAGCATTTTAATGCTGCCAAAGATAACCCTGGGCAAACAATATCAAATCTTTCCTCTGAATTTTTTAAAAGTTGCTCTATTATATCCACAGTTGTTTGTGGACCTTGATAAGCGTCAAAGAATGAAACAACACAAGGAAAACTTAGAGCATGAAAAAGAAAACCACCAGCACTACCTTGAACGTCATGGTTAGAAGCATTCTTCCATTGATGAAGAATAAATTTTAATATGGGTTCAAAATATTCACTGTGATTTCGAAGAAGTTTTTCAAGTACAGAACTTCTCGCTAACTGAGAAAGTACTATACAACATCCATATGTAGTTGAAACCTCTAAATGTCCATTAATCAAAGTCATAATTTGACGTAGACCATCCAATTCGAGAAAAATAAAAGCCAATTTTTTATGAGAGAGTAAAGCATTCAAGACCCAAACCACCCTCGCCACAATTTCTCTCACTTGACGATACTCCTCCTTTGCTAAGGAAAGAGTAGAATCCCACATTAAATGAGTCTCTAATGCATCTTCATCAACTGCTCCATCTTCTTCTTCACTTCCTAATAATTTCCTTTCACGTTCTTCAGTAATTTTTTCAATCTTAATAGTAGATGTTGCAACATTTGTTAAGTCAACACTTTCTAGTACATGAATCATAGATTCTATAGCCTGGAATTGTAAAGCAGGCAGTACAGCTTCTCTCTGATGACAAAGAATTCCAACTAAAGCACAGTTTAACATAAATTCTTCAAGTTTAAAGTTAATATTTTTTGTTTTTATAGTTTGTATTTCCAAATAACGGTCCCATGAAACAATTTCTTCATGAGGTTTTTTATACTTATAACGAAACACGCGATACTTTCCATCATTTTCATTAACTGAATCAACATTTTTCAACCAATGTACTAAAACTTCATCAGTTGCTGTAACATTTACAATCTCACCAATGTCGCAAGTTCCACCTTGACTATCAAAACTCCATGCAGGTCCTCGTCCCACCAAATCACCTTTCTTAGGGCACCAAGTCTCCAATACATCCTCTTGATAATTATTTTCTTCTTCTTCTTCTTCTTCTTCTTCTTCAATTTTTCTCTTTTTTGTCGGTCTTTCAGTCGTATCATTTTCGTTACTATTACATGTGATATTCACTTCTTCACAATGTATTTTTCCGTTTTCATTATTATTGGACAATGTCCCTCTTAATTCTGTATTTGTTAAATTATACCCATGATTAGGAGAATGAGAAGAAGAGGTAAAATTCTGCTTATGATCTATCACTAATGGCGATAGTATGGTCTCTTTTTCATCTCTAACCATCTTATCTGATACTATTTCAGGTGACGCCTTTCTTGAACTAAGTGGAGAGTTTGTATCACTCTGAATTACGGCAGAATAGTACCTAAAAGGTGATCCTCTACTTTCACGAGAAGATGTTAAAACCCGTTTTTCAGGATATCCAAAAATACGATGAACGAGATGTCTAACTCTTTGTAAGAGAAGTTTAAGTAAATCATGTCCAATCGCCTCTCCAATGGCCTGTTCACTTTGATCAAGCATGCTAAATGTCAATGAAAGTGCTAATAATCGTTTTCGACGAGTTTTTTCTTCAACAACAATTTTGCAGAGGTCAGAAATAGATAAAGGATCCAAAAAACTTTCCCGTGAACCTTCTACAACTAGCAAAGCAGCATATGTTGCAACAAGTTGAATATTTTCCAAACTTTTGGTGTGCTGAACCAAAGCAAGTTGTGCAGGATCATTTTCATTCAAAGTAGATGAATTATCACGTTCTAGAGTAGCACCAATAATCTCCCCCATAAAATCACAAAAAGCTGTATTATGATGAATAGCATGTGTAAGAGACTCAAACGGTACACGATCATGCATACTTAGTGTATCTGTATAGACATCTGCACACCTTTGATGTTCATCATGAAGTATTCTTGCCAAACGTCCCCAAAGAAAAAAATGAATTTCATCATATTTTTTTAATAAAACAAATATATCCTCTGTATCAACTCCAGTTTCTGTAGGTAAAACTCTTGTTTCTGAGTTGTCCCTCCCCACTCGATTCTGGATATTTTCTTTTAACATTTTAATCTGTTTTTGTACTTTGAGTAGACGCTTCATAAGTTCTTTAATAATACCGATTGACTGGCTCGCCATTACTACGTCATCCTCGTCATATGACAATTGTTCCGTATCATGTTGACTTCCATCATCCGGGGATATAACAAATTCACCAACGTCATCATTACCCCCTATAGAGAGGCCAAATTCTCCATCACCGAGATCATTTCGAGTCCGTTGCATCTCCTTATTATTGTTAAATGTATAGAAATATTTTTTAAAGTAGAAAAAAATATTTTAAAGAAGAAGTAAGAAGTGAAAAAATAGAAATAGAAGTTCATATTCTTCTTTTTTTTTTTTTTTTACAGGAAGATAACAGAAATATAATGCAAGAAAAACTACAGAAAGTGAAGACAGTTAAAATTCAGCAACTACTCGATTATGCTTTCCAAATATCAAAATAAAAAAAAGAGAAATCTCCGTAAATAAAAAATGAAGAATTAATAAATGAACAAAATGAATAAAACATTTATGTATGGGTTGTTTACAGACTCAAAAGAATTCCCCTTAATTAAATAATGGGGGAAAGTACAGTACTAACGAATTTATAATGGTATTTTTCCATCGTAAAACACCACCTTTCTTCTGGCGATAAGTGATAGACACACATACTGGCATAGATAGGAACCATTGAATGTAAAAGAACAACACAAGGGGTGGAAGTCTGTCAAAGAAGAGAACGTTCCCTCACAAATGTCATACGCTTAATACCCAGTAGTTATGGTGGGAAACGAATCTTACCTCTGAACAATGACTCCAAACATATATATTTCAACTCTGTAATGTAAACCGGAGTTTCTTTCTCAGAAGGAGAGCTCGTCCCGTCGCAACAAGAAAGAAATACAAGGTATAATCCAGAGACACATGTAAGTATATCTTTTTCTTTATAATAGCTGGAACACCAGAACTCTAGAAATCAAAAGGAATTTCGTTACTCTTTTCTCTCTTTTCCTTGAAGGTGGTTGGAATTGTATTTTTTTTAATTATTTCATTGTGATTTTTTTTTTTTATCTTTTCTATCCGTGCCAAGGTATTTTCTTGGAACCTCTTTCTTTATAAATTATACAATTGATTTTTCGTACGCCCCGCCTCACTCCTCAAGAGAAAAAACAAAACGATATTAAAGTTTCGTATAGACGTAAAAGGGGGCTTCCTCATTCCAGTCAGCACTTAGATATACCTTTGAAACAAGTTTTAATGGGGTTTCAGATAAAACTTCTGCATTAAGTTTTCGTGAAGTTACCACACAACGCACAGTAGGAACAGATACAACCACTTTAGATAACTGTTTCATCAAATCATCATCAAACATCCAAGAATGTGTAAAAATCACATTTACCTTCTCTTCTGTCAAACGCGAAGTAGATCTTACCAGGTCATCTTGAAGAAAAACTGCATCCTTATCACCGAAAAATTCCGGGTAGTACGTCTTTGCTTTTGAAAAAGCTATCACAGCATTACGATGTCGTGAAGGAATTACTTCAACACCAACAACTTTTTTGCAACGTGTCTCTGCCAAAATCTGAAGGCATACGTTTCCTACACCACTTCCTATATCACAAAAGACTGTTTTCTCTTCAACTTTAGTTGTTGTTCCTTCCGTATTAGTTAGGGAAGCACCACCTGTCATGCTCATGCGTAATTGTGGTAAAATCACTGAAGTCCACATTTTTCTAATACCATCCACATCAATAACACCTATTTGTGCAAAAACATTGGGTTCCACAGTAAGATGTTCTTCTCCCAAATCTAACTGTCCTAATTCCTCATAATTATCAGAAAGGTGTTCATAAATTTTTGGATAAATTTCGTTGAAATCTGCAGGAGGAGAACCAATAACAATTGGTTCCGTAATAGCTTTAAATGAATGCTTTTTCATATTATTTATAAAACTCAATCCATAACCTACAGAACACCCAAATGCGCAAGAAAATGCAACCAGACGTACCAGTTTCGGTCGAAAGAAAGAAGAAACGAGGGTGAAGAACGAAACCCCTGCAATTAGCAGAACCTCCCTAGCCACCATCGCTTAAGCAAACCCTTAAAAAAAAAAAAAAAAAGAGGGGAAAGAATACAGTGGTAACGATAGGGGAAAAGAAAAACAAAAGATATTAAACAATCAAATGGAAAGAAAAAAACAAGACGCCACGAACCCTTAACCACAGAACCCCCATATGTACATGAAACAAAAAAAACAAGTTTGTTTCTAACAAAAAAAAAAAATGCGGGACGTAAACAATTACAGAAACACAACACCGCAAAACTTAAGGAAAACAAAGCAAACGGCAACCACCACCAAAACCACGAACAAAGCACCAAGAAGCGGACCGGGGAGAAACCCCACCACAGCCCGCCCCGCGCCAAAGACCGACGAACTGGGGAAACACAACCCCGAACCGAACCATCACCCACGGCAACCATAAAAACAACCCTTTCCGCCGGCCAAAACCCCTGCAAAACCGGGACCCGCCCCCTTCGCCCCTCCCGTCCCCCAAACTAAAAAAAAAAACGGAAACAACGCCGGCAAACCCACGCGAACCCCCCGCAAAACCCCACCCCCCCCCAAAAAAAAAAAAATATAAATAAAAACCCTTCCAACGCCAATCAACACGACCTTTGGATAAAAAATAAATAAATAGCAAACTTAATCTCCAAGCCGTTTCAACCCCACACCATATCCCATAAGAAAATATGAAAAAAAAATTTTTTTTTCATATTTTAACGTTTTTTAAAATGATTTTATTTCTTTTCCACATCATTTTTCCGGAGAAATGACGTCGGATTCATAGCTCAGTGGTAGAGCGTTCGGCTGCAGTCCGAATGGTCCCCGGTTCAAACCCGGGTGGGTCCTTGTTTTTCGTTCGATTTTTTTTCCCATAATTATCTCTTGTTTTTTTTC